CCAATCGGCAGATCGGATCAGCTCCGAGGCTCCTCGAGACTTCTCCTTGCGGCCGAATTGAGTCGTAAATACTGGCAATGATGAAAATAATCGTAATAATAATATCAAATACATAGTTACATGAGCTGTTAAAAATAATTATTTCTTATGATTATTTCTACGATAAAAAATAATTATTTCTTACGATTTTTATTATTTGATAGTAATATATTTTTTAAATTCATGTGGAAGTTTAATCAAATTTAGCTTCTTTTTTTTTTTTTTTTTTTTTAATCAAAGCAAGGCGGTAACTTGTATAATGTTAATGGACGAATAATATGATACATGTAATAAAGCGGGGCAATTCGATCAAGAATTTACGAAGAACGCCAGTCCCGTACGGGCGAAACTGGTTTATCTCTGGTCAGAGGAAACGCAATCCGTGCTTTGTATTTCACCCGGAGATTTACCGCGGAAACGTTTACCGGAACGTTTACCGAATTTTAGCGCCATAAAGATGGGTTTCTCGGCGCGGTACAAAAGCACGCGGCTCGAACCGCAAGTTAATTAGCGAAAACGTGCGGGATCGTTTTCGCTGTTCTCGAAGAGAGCACCACAACCGATCTTTCTCGTCTTCGTTGTGAGCGCGTCGCATGCTTTTTTGCGACATGCACTCTTTTTATTCGGATCCTATCGCCCTGCTCTTCATCGTGGTCTGCGTTGCTGCAATTTCACCTTAGAGGTACCTCGCGGTCATCCGGAGGGCAGTTAGAAGCAATCGTGCACCTGGAAGGCGAGAAAGAGAGACGTATATCTACCTTCGCCTCTCCTTTCATTCTCTCCATCTTTCTCTTCATGCTCTTTTCTTTTTTTCCTCCTTGGTAGACACGGGAGGCGCTTCTGCTTTATTTGTCTCTTCAAGCAGCTTCAAAAGGATTCTTCCTGTGGAGGTGGAACTGTTGACGAAAGAATGTCCCTGGCGGCATTGCTTCTTTAATCTTTCGCGGTATTATGAACGTATTTGATGTAAATTTTTTTTAATTAATTGCTCGATTGATTATGAACATTTACGTTGATTAATATATTTTTATACATAATTATTAGCGTAAATATTTTTTTTAAGGTTGAATAAGAAGAAACCACACTTATTTTCATTGATGTAAATTTTTACGAAATTAATTTGTGATGAATTTAATAGCTTCTTTTTAATAGCGATATGCGTCACAAAAGAAATTTTTTGATTAAAAAAATTTTATTACTGTAACGTTGAGATTGCTTAATTAAAAATATTGCAACGATTTCTCGGTAAGAGTAAAAACAATCTGAGCATGTGAACAGTCCGATAATTCTTTGAAGAGAATCTTTATTGATGAGATTCGAAGTTTCGTGAGTTCTTTATTAAAGAAGTACGAGCGGCTTTTTTCGCCGAGTCCGACCGTTCTTGTTATTTGGACTGAGACAAGAATTTTGAAAAGATAGGAGAAGGAGAGAGAGGGATAGCGCGATGGTGCTCTTTGTGCCATTCTTGCATCGCCGCTGTGGTAAATTACGTTTTTGCTCATCGCAACGCAACGCCATGGCAATCGCGGTCGGCCGTTGCGGTGACGCAACGGAGAGAAGTTTAAGACGCGACGGCTTCCGCGCGATGCAGGTGCATCGCGCGAGAAACGTTCGCTGCCGCGTCGTTCGTTTCGCGGGAATGCAACGCGATCGCGTCATCCGGAGACCAACGCCCTTCTGCGTTGGTCGTTTATATTTTTCTGAGCGCGCGGCGATTAAAACTTATTTACCGCGGCGGCGGCGGTAATTAATTCACTTGGGAGCCGTGGTTTCAGAAGATCGATCGGTCGAGCAGAGATTAATTGCCGCGATTATGGTGCGCAATCCACGTTCGCACGTTTCCTCTTCACATTCACGAGTTCGGAATAGTAACGCGCGATAGTCAACGTGCTCTATCGATTCGGAATTCGAGCAGCATCATCGTGTGAATTTTCGCTACATTTCCCTTGAACTCTGAGTTTGAACTCGCGCCAAGGATGGATATTTTCAATCGTGATGCGCTCTCTTGTCTTTTCGAATAATTTAAAACTCTGCGACAACTCTGGCAAAATACATGTTAAAAGCAGCTAAATTTATAATTCATTTAGCACCTAAATTTACAATTCATTTTTTTTATCTCAGTTTTGGGATATTATTAAATTGACAGCATTCCAATTTTTTAATGAAGGTATTAAAAAAATGGGATTAATGGGCTTATTACTTGATAAAACAAATTGCAGTTGAGGCTCGTTAAAGATTTAACGGATTGCATTTGTCTCGTGGGAAGCCGGTGAAACCGAGCGTTTAAAAGTTCATAAAATAACGGGCGAAAAATTTACGCGCCGTGCCGTCGGTCAGGCCGGTTGAAAGGTGGACGAGCACCGCACCTGCAGGGCAATGCCTTCTCCTCGTCGGTCAGGGCGCACGAGAATGTGAAAGCTGCACCTGAAACCGGCGGTTTTGCGCCAAGCGCGATGATGCGTTTTGCTCGGATCGCTCTTCTTGCGGCTTGTTGTCCGAAGACTGCGGTGAGAGCCGACCGACAGATTTGCGTGTTTTGGGAACCGTACACGTGGCGAGATAAGACCAGACGAGATGGGGCGAGGTGAGGTGAGGTGATAAGCGAATGTTCTGGTCTCGCTAATCTCGAGAATCTTGACCTACCGGAAGAATTTTAGTTTTTTATCGCGATGGAAAATTGACTCATTCTCATTTTTACGAATTACGATGAATTAGTCATATGTTTAGATCGCTTGTCATCGATGTTAGACTTTGATCGAATTTTTTTTAATCAGTTTTCGCACCAGTTTGTCGTGACTTTGGGTTTTAATCAGAGTCAACTGGTACCTGGTATCTTGAAAAGATCCTAAAGTTCTTATCGATTAATCTAAGTATGAATTACATTAAGATGGAATTTTGCAAGAACGAAGCGTATGTTTAACGTGACATTCGTGAAAAATGTTATTTAATAATCATTTATTTCATCTAATTGCAAAGTATAAAAATGGCGGCACTTCATGAGTGCCGCACTTCATATTGAATTTTGAGAAACCAACTAAATGGCGAATTACAAGGATGTGTAATTTTATTCGCATTAAGGCTTGTTGTAATCGATCTTATTTTTTTTTGTGCATTTTGCGCGTATGGTAGAAAAAAGGGAGACATTGCGTAGCGGAAAGTGGAACACCTATGGCTACGTGAGAGAGGCAAAAGAGTCGTATTTTAAGAAAGTGGATGATCATCGTAGCGTCGGGAAAGTGAACGGGGATACCGGTTTCGATTTCATCGTCAAGAATCTCATTTTTTTGATACGGGAAAGACATGGACACAGACATCTCGCGAAATTCCATTTCTACTTGTTTCAAGATGACAATCGCACGACAGCAATTTCTTTAATCCTAAATTTGTGTCTTGCAAGACGCGTCAATTTATATTTTTATTTCAGACTCACGTAGATTATATATCACATTTTTAAATCAGGTTTACAAATACACTTAAATATATCTTCCTTAAAACTTATTTCATTTATTTCATTTTAAAGATAAAAAGATTTTCCATTTTTCAGAAAATTTATTACGTGACCTTTTACCTCTTTTGTGGCAGAATTATAAATTTATTCGCTTAGTTTAGATCATTCTTTGAAATTTATAAATTTATTTATATATTTATAAATTTATTTTAATATA